GTAACAAACGAAAACTCTTGAAGTGTTTTGGAGGGAGAATTCCCCCTGGATCCGCCACAGTGTATCATATGCTTTATACTTTCTCCCTACCGCTTACACAGTAAAGAGAAAGTTCTGTGTTATGCAGGGTTCCGAGTAAAGTTTCTTATTGTCGGGCCCTAATAACGAAAGTGTATAAATCCAGTAGTTAAATTTAGAAATACAAATCCTCTAACCCGTGATGAAACATAGTTGTATATTTTTAATTATAAAAATGTTATTTTTTTAAGTCTCTCATGTCATTAATATGTGCATTAGAGGTGATTAGTTAAAATTATTAGTTTAGAATTTGAGTACATGTGCTATAAATGATATCTTATAAAGCTTCTCAAAAACTAAAACGTTTTCTTTGCAAAAGAGCTCAAAATTCCGTGTTTTCAAAAATTATTGCGTGTTTTTCTAAAACAAAAGAAAGCAAAATGAGCATTTATGACATTTTATACAGCACATTTCTATTTTCGCATCACTATTTAAACATTTTTTCAAAAACGGCTCCAAATTTCTTCAAACTTTTCACGAGGATAGTGTGAAACGCGCTGTATAAAATGACAATGCCATTTTCTGTTTTATTTTGTTTTTAAATATTTCTCACGCTATTAATATGCACATTTCCAGCAATTTGTATACATTATTGTATTGTAGTGTAGAATTACTTTAAATGACTTACAATAAATTTTTTCGAACACACAAAAGATTTATGTGAAAAATAACTTCAAATTTCACATTTAGAGAAATGCTTAAACGATTTTTCTTTAATCCGGTTCCATAGTTTTCTAAAAAAAATTTCCATGTAGGAACGATCATCTTTAATATTCTTAGAGTAATATTTCAATTCTACCATTAGAAAACAGAAAAATTACGAAAATTTCAAAACATGTACTTAAGTTGGCATGATGTCAGCTGAAACGAGGATGAGGCAAGACCAAAATGACCAAGACCAAAGAAATTAGAAAACTAACAACTACGAGAAACTCTGTGCCATCCTGTAGCACCACTAGCTTACTTATTTGTTATATATTCTTAACACATTCATTACAAAATTATTTATGTACAGATTTTGCCATTTCATACAGCATATTTTTCCAGACTCCACATATGGGACTGGTACTGACGATGAGTGTACATTTTAACAAAGTTAACTAGACAAATTAACAAAAACACTTTTGCGCATTACAATCTACGGAATAACTCTACGTTCTGAGATCCAAAAACTGGATTTTAAGGACACACTGATTTGTCCTTATTTTGTGACTCAACATCCCTTGAAGGTTATTCTCCACTAAGATATATTACAGACATGTGTCCTAGGAGTCATATATCATTAAAAAAACTGTCAGCTTTCCTAAGCATAATGTATATATAAATTGATAATTTGAAGTTTACTTACACGAATATTGGTCCAAATCCTGCTCAAATTCTGAAGGTCTTTCATTAATTTCACTTCCAAAGTTCCTACTGGAGGCTTCATCCAGCCCAGCATTACCCTCTGAGTCGATTTCAATTTCAGAATGTAATGGTTCACATTTCACATTTATTTCTGTGTGTACGGAATCATCATGGCCACCAGAATAACGATCTTGCAGAGGATCATCCACAGGATCATGCAGAGGCAACATCTCGTAAACGTTTCTGCATTCATCAGGCGAGTCTCTCTCTTTAGTGTCTGGGTGCAAATTGTGGTAATGATGTTTTTGAGAGGAATAATGAGAGGAATTTGAGGAGCTGGGTTCACAGTTTTGGCTAGAGCTTTCAACTTCAGGGATATCTTGATTAACACTCGATGCATTATGACGGACATTTCCATCACCATTACTCCCAACATTAGTTTCCCTCTAAAATAAGCAAAAGCAACATTTATTGAATTTTTTAATATCAGCCATTATACAGCAATTGATTTTTCACCTACATCTTTTTGGAGAGAATTATTCAGGCCTTTAATCTGCAGTGACACTGCTAGCTCCAAAAATTCTGTCAACTGGTTTGCTGGTATCTCTGCTTTTCCATGATATACAAAATCAATCACTTTCTTAAGCGTATCAAACAAGGTATCTTTGAGAATGACAATTGGATGCTTCTCTTTTTCCCCACTGAACAGCATCTGTTAAAAAAATTTAAAAAAGAATAATGAAGATGAGCATTTCTTCTCTGAAACTGTCAAAGAAATACAAGTAGACATTCACGCTATGTAAATTCTACAACATCAAAACTGTTGCACATTGTGAATTTCTCTTCACTTCCACTTATCATTTTCTAGACTTTATAAATCATAACTGTTATTTGGTTTTCAAAATAAAAATAGTGCCAGTTTCACCAACTAGGATCAAATTTGTAGTTGATCCGAGCTTCGTGATCCTGATCCGCGGAGTCAAGGCCGACTTGATCCCTGTGCGTTTCACCAACGTTTTGGGACTTCTAAGTTAATCCGGTTCCCAGGATTCGTGAGCAGTCGTGAAAATGCGCGGTTGGCAACAGTTTTGCAATGCATTGTGGCTATTCTCGAGGTCAGCTGTAGGGAACGAGTAGTTTTGATTTCATTTCGTTCCGTCTGTGTGGTGTTGTTGCGTGTCGTAGTGTTGTCTCTCCCCACAATAAATCTTCACTGACTTCATTCGAAAACAAACTACATTTTTACGACACAAATTAACCTAACAAGAACAAAAATTCATAGTATTACTACACCAAAAAAAGTATTCAATAAAACTATCCCACGCTAATTGCAATACAGATAACACAAAAATCAGGTAGAAATGTGGAATAACAGCGCCTCCAATAAACTACAACTAACAAAATGCTATTTTACTAATGATACTTATAATTACGCTAATTTGAAACCAAAATATATTTAAATCTTACTTCCTAATACCGAGAATTCTAACCGACAATTGTGTTAACCCGACTTTTATTTACAATACTATCTTAAACACATTTGCTCAGCAAATATTGTGCGCAATCCTACTTCTTAGCGAATACTTTCATTCTGAATTTAATTCCAACTACAGGTATTTGCTTAAAAAATATGGAAAACTGGAATAGCTAGACGACCAAGACGAGAAATAACTCCTGATCTGGCCGTGATCGACCGCTCAGCGACGGATCAATTGCGAGTCAAATTTGATCAGAGTCAGACACGTTGATTCGTGTCAAGTGCATGGAGAAACGTACAACGGGATCAAACTGAAGTTGATCCGGATCAACTGGGGATCATCATCTTGATTCCGGTTGGTGAAACCGGCATGTTTTGCGAAGGATCTAAAATTGAATGGGAAGTTTTAAGGATGTTACTTGCTAATCCTATTATATCACAAACAACTACACAAGACCAGTAGAAAAGAAGTCAGAAGAATAATTATTTTCACTAAACTGAGTCTAATGCAAGATCTTGTGTATAGAGATGGGAAACCCTAGGTTGCCTTCAGTAAATGGAGGACATATCAAATCAACAAGATCCAAAAAATTAGACGTTAGTTATATCCCAGGTCTTATAATGAAAGCAGCAAGTCACCAGAAAAGATAATACTGCTAGTCACATTACGGGTCTTTGTCACAACAGATGCTATGGAAAACATAATGGAGTACGCCAGAGTGGTTTGGTCTCCATAAAATAAAAGACACTTGAAGCGGATGCAAAGGAGAATAACTAAAATTCCTAGAGAGCATAATCTTTCATAAACAAGATAAATTACAATATTCTTTGATCACATTTGAAATTTCGCATAACCAGTAAAACGAATAAAATCGTATCGCAGCATGAGCTGAGTGTAGCCTGCGACAATTTATAAAATCTGTAGTAGGACATATTCGACAAAAACCTTTTTGATTCCCCCCACCCCCCGGATATGTCTCTGGATCCGCCCTTGTATACATTGTTCAAAAATCTGTTATAAGACACATTCCAGATGGGAAAACTGAGACAAAACTCTAACATCACATCCAAAATCAATTTCAATTTTTTGGTCTACTTGAATTTGGCGTCAAAATTTGTTTTCAGCCTGATAATGCAATAAAGCTGAGAAAAAACATAATCCCAGCAAAAACACGTTTCTCGTATCTCTGTAACAGAGAGCCCTGTGAGACTGATTTTATTTTTTTCGGATTACAGCATTTTGCACCCCCTTATTCTACTATACCTTTTTTCAGTTTTCTTAAAATCAGGCATTCAACCAACATGGCACCTGCACCATTTTCTTAAACGTCCTGCAGACTATCCAACAACAAAATTTCAACTAAAACGATGGAGCAGTTTTTTTTTTACTTCGAAAATGCCCCAGGCCAATAACCCAAAATTAGCATATAGGTTATAATTCAATGGGCAGTGACATCAGCCAGACGGATTTTTTTTTAGAATATCTACCGAAAAACCGTTATACTGTCAATCGATTTTCCTGTATCAAGGACCTACAAAACAGATCCTGGCTACACAATGTTAGATTTTTTTAAAATTTAGCAACTGCATTTATCCACTTTTTCTTCACAAGGGCCCTGTAATAAGTTTTTTTTTTGTAGAAAATTCGCAATTTTCTTGCGCCAGCACTACATAACTTTCTCTGTGCTGTGTAGAGGTGTGAGAAAGTAAAAAAAAAACTCTCGAATACGTGGTGTAGCTCAGAATTATGTTTTGTAGGTCCTTGATACAGGAAAATCGATTGACGTATAATGTCAGTCCATCTAAACACTAGCGCCTAAACTATGAGTATTTTTTTTTTACTGGAAAAAATTCCTTTCGATCTGATCAAATTTGAAGCTCTGCGATTTTGAAATACATTCATGTATGTTTGGCGGTACTTTACATGAAACCCTTGGGACATTCTCAAAATTTCCTCAAAAATTTCTCCAAATTTTTTCTTTAAATTTCTTGTAAAAATAGTTAAAATACTCGTATAAAGATGGCATAGGTCCAAATTTTTACTCTTAACTCTCAATTTTCTATAATTACACAAAGTTTGAATTTTTAGGCGTATCATCGACATCTTCATCGACAAATTTGAAGATACAGATTTGTCCTTCAAATGAAATCTGTTCTTCACAGTTCTTTCGTTGTCAGGAACATTTTTTTTGTAGTTTTTGCGCAATATTATGTGCAATTTGAAAAAAAATAACAAAAACAAGATTTTCTTAAAATCACCTAATTTTTTCTTTTTCTTTTCATAGGACTAGTGTTAAATGTACTTTGTGGGATGACAAACGCCATTTTCTTCTTTATTTTCCAAAAATTACAAAAAATATGTTTTATGACTACGTCTTTCACGTGCATAATAAGCGGCGATTTCTTCACATCATTGTCTCAAAAACAATTTTTTTTTCTGCAAATGAACTCAAAATTCTACCTTTTAAGACACATTCATACGCCGTTTTCACAAAAACCGGCTTCATTTTTTTCTTTAAACTTTTTGTACGGATACTGCGAATTGCAGTGTTTTAGACGATATAATATTCATTTTGCTGCTTTCTTTTTTTAATTACACATGCTTTTTTTAAAATATCTCACACTTTTTTAATATGCACATTACCAGCGATTAGTATACATTATTGCATTGTAGTATGGAAGTTCTTGAAATTACTTCCAATAAAGATTTTTGAAAATTCAAAGGATTTCTGTGAAAATGAGCTTCAAATTTTGCATTTAGTGACGTTTATATGTCATTTTCTCATAAAAGGCTCCAAATTTGTCAATCAATATTTCCTTAAATAGCGAGGTTTTACTCTTCTTCTTAAAGTAACATTTCAGTTCAACTATGATGCCGAAAAACTGAGAAAATTAAAAAAAAAAGTTTTTTGGGCGGTTATAAATGGCAGTGGGCAAGAAAATGTGGCTAATCCAGATCACAGAAATTAGAAAACCAGTACGAGAATGTCATTGCCATCCTCTAGCACTAGTTTCTTTATACAGTGCCATCAATTCTACAGCATTCTCTTCTTCTGCCCTCTCTCATATCGACTCCGTTTCACTAATTTCTTTTTCCATCGCTTTCATTTTTCAATAACGTTTTTCTGTTTAGATCTGGCTCCACAAACTAAGCAAAGCATGTTTCGATCGACTATGTTGACATTTTGCCACCTGCAGTTTAATGTTATATTATCGAATGCCAGTTGTAGCCCTAATATGCACATGCGTAGTTCCTATAATAAAAAACGCGTGAACATTTTTCATTTTTCGCCGCTCAGCCGTAGTCGCGTTCGGACGTGCTCTGCAGTTCCGTGACCGACCGTCTAGCCGAGTGCAATGGGCTACGAATTCCATGTGCCATCCGATGACTTAGTTGGCCCATTAGTACATCGATTATTAAGCAATATTATAACTTATTTCAGTTAATACATATAAATTCAATTGAGCTAGATTTGGACCACAATCCAGTTATTTTAACAGCAATACTCGACGTCTTGCACATCGTCCACCATGGTATTTACTCAAAACGTTAACTGGAGAAAGTTTCAATAATATCTCACATCCTCTCTCCCTCCCATTAAAGAGTTAAAATCACAATCGGAAATTGCTGAATCCACCTTTTGTTTTCACTAATGTTATTATTAACGCCATGCAAAATTCTTCCCCTAGCACTATACAGACAAGTCGCTCTCCAAACCATCCTCGGCTACCTGAAAGCATCCAAGTACTGACACGAAAAAATAAAATAAGACGTCTCTGGATCAAACACAGACTACTTCACCCAAATCAGAACACAATCACTTAAAATGACTCGTCCTTTAACACTCCCCCTTTATTCCAGCTCGACGAATACAAAACATACGTCGCTGACCTAAATCTTCATGACTCATCATTATGGGAAGCGTCACGAAGGTTGCTAGGAAAAACTATGTCATTCCAGTTTTGAAACATGGTCACCTGAGAGTTCAAAACGACAAAGAAAAAGGCGCGCTACTTTAAAATTTGCAGAATGAAATCATTGGATTTAATAGCTCTCTTAATTTCGACACACCAAGACGGATTTCTTTTATAACTCCCCAAGAAACATATCACACTATCAAAAACTTACCGGCAAGAAAATCAGCAGGTCATGATCACATCAACTCCATTACTTTGGAAAATGCCCTCAGAAACAGCCGAGCATTTCTAACCAATATATACAACTCGGTGCTAAGGACAGGATATTCCCCCAGTTCTTGGAAACATTCTGTAATATCTATTCCAAAGCCCAATAAAAACCCTCGAACCCCACTAGTTACAGACACATCAGTTTAATCCCCACTATGTCAAAAAGATAAGAAAATTTACTATTAAAGAGGCTCCGTAAAGTTATAAATCATATTATTTCTTCTTTTCAATTTGATTTCTCCCAAAGCCATTCCACAAGTCACCAATTACTATGTCTAACCCAAAAAATATTCATGAAACATTTTATGCTGGTCATAATTTAATAGCAGTCTTTCTCGATGTCGCTCAAACGATCGATAGGATCTGGCACGAAGGGGTAATTTACAAACTCAGGAGACTAGGCTTTCCGAAATACTAAATCAATACCATGTCAAAATTCATTACTGATCGCACATGTATTGTGCAAGTGGACTCAACTCTCTCTGCACTCCGTAGAAGTTCAGCAGGAGTTCCACAAGGTTCCCCATTGTCACCGGTTCTTTAATATTTATATTTCAGACATTCCAACGCATCCTAATATACACTGTCATTTTTTCCTAAGTTGCCTACGTTGTAATGGGACGGTCGCATATAGCAGATGACGACACGAACGAAATATATTTTAATTAAGAACCGCGCCGCTGTTAAGAGCAGCCGGAAATGCCGTTTCCTGCTGTACCTGGGAAGGACGATTAGCGAACCGAGGGAAAGGAGGAAAAGCGCCTCCTTTGTTCAGCGATACCCACGCCTGACGCACCCCTTGTGACGTATGGGGAAATACGCCGCCCACACGCCTAAACCGAGCAACGGAATTACCCGCGCCTATTTCTGAGAATTTAAGTGGCGGAGGAAACTTCGAGGGAAGTTGCCGGGTGTGGCTTTGCTGCTGGCGCCGTGATGGGCGGAAGTATCTACGGGTGGCGCGACGACTAATAAAGTAGACGATGCAAGGGAGGAATCACGTGGTACGCGAGCCTTCCTGAGGGACCGCGGATGAGAGGAGCGATCACTTGTTTCGGAGGCGGCAGGGGGATCACTTGTGTCGGAGTTAGCGAGGACACCTGGGTCGGAGGCAGCCGCGACATGACTTGTTTGTGAGGCAGCCGCGAGGACACTTGATTTTGAGGCAGTAGCGAGGCCACTTAATTCGTGCCTGGTCGCCCCGAATGCCACGCCGCCTCGCCACATCGCAGCCCGACTCGTGTGACAACAGACGAACGATGGAACGGGACACCACGAGTGAGTGCCTGACCGAAGGGCCATGTGAGTACGAGCCGGGGGCGTGAAAAACAATATCGCGAAGCGAGAGCGTAGGCTTCCGCGGCCGGAGTCAGTCAAAATAATAATATCGCGAAGCGACCTGTCACCGCCCGGGCGAGTTCCCGCCGCCGCCCGCGCCAAACAACGCTGAGGACCTGCCGGTCGGCGCCCGCCGCTGGCCTAATCCGGGGCCGCCGCCGGGGCCGCCGCCGGGGCCGCCGCCGGGG